ATGAACCAATGAACCAAAGAAATTGATTTAAAGGATGTCAGATCTTGCCAGTGTATTATTACAAATGTTATTTTGTGTATTTGGGGTCGCAACAACCATTATTCTGATGAAGTGATTTCTACATACAAATGCATCTTCTGCTGAATTAGGCCTATGTCTTCAATCTAAGATCAAATTCATGAAAATATTACTACTGTTTACATCAATTACTTTTTGTTTTATCGCCATTCAGTTCTCAGGGGCTCAATGACAATAGAGAGCACAGATGTTTCTTATGCCCACTACACGCTGCATGTTGTATAACCAAAGGCACAGCACACACACAGAGGCCATCCACTAACCTTATTGCTCCTAAATGCTCCACTGTTCAAAGTCCCTGCTGAAACATATGTAACATTTTACTTCATTATAGCGTAATAAGAACAAACAGCTGTAAGGACAAGCGAGGCCAATCCCCATGGCAGTACAAACAATGTACCCTAAATTACAACCAGCGCAAACACAGAACATTTCACTTTGCACCGCTCTCTGATTGGATGAAGGATGTCAAAACAAAATCCCGCTGCCTTGAAATGACTTTTAATTTGCTCAAAGAGACGACGCAGCGCAGGCCCCTGAAGTTTGTACGACACCTTTACTAAATTAGCTTTGTTTGTCTTTCAGGCTTGTACACTGGCTCCAGCAACCCCCATCACCCAATCAGTGCCCCAGCAGAGCTCCTGTCCCCCTCGGCACCCTCCGGCCCAGAACTGTCCCAACGCCACAGACTGGACCGGGACATGGGCAGCCCGCACCTGTCCCCCCTCACCCCTATGGAGGGCGCTAGAGATGGGTGAGTAAAATACACTTGTACTGTTAAAATACAGGTTTTATTATGTGTAGGATTTAGCTCCGTGTGTTAAATGAAGTGTCCAATACCGCCGAAACAGTACATTTTTCCATAAGAATATTTTGCGCTATGTAAACACATCTCATGACATAATATGGTGCCAAAAGTGGTTGAGGGGTGAGGTCATGTGTTTCCCTCAATCCCTCTCTCTATATTACAAGATGACATGTTGCATTTATAATCACAAATGTAAATAGTTTTGACTGACACACACAGGAAGAATCTAATAAATTAATATTATGACTTTGCCTTATGATATACATTCTCCTTCTTAATGTTTTGCAACCAAGAAATAAAAAGACCACACTTCTACACACTTCTGTGTAGTGAATGATGAATTGTGTGGGAACAGTCCACACTGAACATTGAATCTTACTATTTTTATTGGTCACATTTTTATTAAATTGAATGACTACTTAAAATGTCCTCAATTCCTGTAAAAAGACAAAACATTTATCAGAAAATAGTGATCCATAGTGATCTTAAAGAGGCTTTTGCAGAAGTGGGTAGAGTAGAGAGAAATTGTAGTCAAGTAAGAGTACCCTTACTTCAAAATAATATTACTCAAGTAAAAGTATAAAGTGGTGTTTGGGAAAACTTTGGCAGTAACTGTCAGGACGTAGCATCTGATTTATAATTGGAACTGAATGTAATTGGCAGGACAAAACATTAAATAATCTGGCATTTTCAAAGGACTGATCACACAAATGAAAATAATCATCATATCTGCTGTGCAACAGACACAAATGTTCAAATAATAATTTAATTGCCCCTTGAGAACTGACGCAATTTACTCAAGTAAGAGTTCTGTTACATAGTGAAATATATTACTTAAATAGGAGTAAACTATACATCTCTGAACTACTCAGAGATGTACAATTTTATTAAAACGTAAATGCACTGAGTACTACCCTCCTCTGTTATTACTGATTAAGCATAAATAATGTATAAGAACAAAATCTCCTTATCCAAATCTTAGGAACTTTTACTGAATAGTGATTGAGTTCACTCCCAAAAGTGAACACATGGGTCACTGAGGTGTCACAGTGACACACACTATATTTGGCAGTGTCATCTGTATTGACAAAGTCCCCTGTCTGCACTGATAATACTTTTGTGCTTCATGACTCATTCTAAAATAGGTGTGAATGCATAATATCTCTCTGTTTATTATTTCACATAATTAGTCCTACAGATTATGAATACGAGTCTGTTCTTTGCTTTGCCCATGGAGAATAAACCTCAAATTACCCGACACAAAAACAGGCCAAAGAACTCAGTCAGATATCCCAAAACACAGCATATTGTTTTATTTGTCCATAATTGTTATATTGAGTTGAGGTATTCTGGTATAATCAAGCAGTGCTATATTCAAATTACATCACATCTGGGGTTTGTTACTCAGGATCTTTTGGGAAAATGTTAAATAAGCAACTAATAAAACCTGAAAGAGTAATTAAATAAACTGCAAAAGGATGGTTGAAATTAAAATGGCTTGACTTAATAAGATCAACAATAAAACTACAAAAAGAAAAAAAATAAAACTGTTATGTACTGGAGGACATGCACCTCTTTTTGGGTGTGTGAGCTGCGTGTTTCCTATTAGTGAATTTCCCAGAGGAGAGTTTCAGAGTCCAAGGAGGCACAACGTGTACTGGAGCAAACAATACATTGGTCACATGAGGAGAGGTTTGAAAGGACTTTTACAGTTTACCATTGGCTTTGCTGCTCACACTAGTGATTAGTTTAGTGCTGCTTCTGATCATTTAATACCCAACATTACTATTTTAATAAAACCAAAGGAGGTCTTAAACTGGACTTCAAAAGGACTTAGCCAAAATGACCCCTGCATCTTTCCTCTAGTCTGGGCTGGGGGTCCGATACCTGCTTGACTTCACTGAGATGTTACTGCTTTGTGTGCAATGTTCCACAGTATGGCATTAAACTTTAATCTATCTTTTATTGATTCAAGTACAGTTGTTTTTGTTGCTAAAAATAAAATGTGGTCACCTTTCTAAACAAAGATAACAGACAGCCTGGTGGTGTCACCTGTATGTATCTGTGAAAAAATAAGGTTAAAGCCATACTGTAGAACATTCCAGGTAAAGCATTTAATAATAACAAGTAGGTGCAGATTAAATCATTTGTTAAATCATGTGAAGAATTTGTTCACTCACCCCAGTTTGAGAAACTCTATAGATATCTGTATTGCTCTGTGATTTTAGTTTTATGTCAATCTGTTCAGGATAAATCTATAACAGAATAAATCTTGATGGCTTGTTTCTCTTTTGTAGTGGTGCATCAGCTTGTGTGCGGGAGTGTGTGTGAGTCAAAGAAGCTGAAACACACTAATTGAGGAAACTCGCATAATTACATCAGACTTGTGCGTGAAGCTGTCCAGTGCAAACACACAGTCCCAGGACCTCTCAGAGATGTCAGGGCGGCCCGCGAGTATTTGGACGTAAAGTGCTGCTACAACCCTTGAAATGCTAGAGGAAATCGCTGTCAAAAATTTCATTGCGGTCTGTGTAGGTTTTTTCTCCTTAGCATTCAGAATAACAAGTGTTAGTCGTGCAATAGAAAGCGAACGGGCCCCGTACTCAGGGTGACATATTGGAAATGAGGTACAGATTTGTTCCTTTTGGCCTTGACGAGGAACCTTAAGTGTTTTCATGCATTTGTGCCCATAAACCTGGATCAGTGCATGCATGTGGTTAGCAATCAGAATATCAATCTTCTTCAAATGTAACTTAAGAAAACATTAAACCAAATGAGAAAAATTCCTACTGCGGTTCTCACTTAAATTCTCTCTGCATGTGCTGTGATGACAAGCCTCCAATAAAACTTTAGCCATTTCCAAATATCCTGATTTCAATCTAGATGCTTCCCAAGATACGCACATGTTTGTTCAGTATCGTTAGTTCACTCATCACATACGGTTTCCCTCTAACTCTAAACAGGCATTCCCAATAAGCTCCAGTGACAGAGTGAGTCCCCACATGAATAGGGAAAAAGGCGCACACACACCGTCGTGCCTGGTGTTTAAAGCTGGTGTGTGACTGAATGAGTTGGGCATGAAACGTCTACTTACATCTACATAAAGATGGAGCTTTTGATTTACATGTTTAAAGCCCTAAGTACACAGCCTGCTGCCAAAGTCAATATAAGCGCCGCACTTGTTTTTCCCAAACGGTTTAGTGGGACATTAAACATTTTGACAAAATTATCAAACCAACCCGCCTCTAGTGTGGCAGCCTCTGACCTCATAGCTAAATGTGTTTTCTTTGGCTCCAATGGCCCATTTAGACTCACTTTGCAAATACCAGTGTCATTTTTCCGAAGCTAATATTCCAATATGCCAGATAAAATACATTTGCTGATCGGTATGGCTGGTGCTAAGGGCTGGCTGTTCCACCATGGCGGCCTATGCACAGAGAGACTGCTAAATGTTGTCATTCACTGCCCTGCCGTCTGTGGTTACATAATTACAGCTGCCTTTAGTAGAGTTTTGGTATTAGAGCCCGAGTAAATATTAGTCTGCGCTGGTCTGATATGTGCAGTGATTGACACAGGCTAACAGGATTAGAGTGGCAGCACAGAAGGACATTAACAGACGTGTACTGCACTTAACCCCTCTCTGTCACCTGCTCCACATGATCATACAGAGGGGCTGATCGCAGCAGAAAACAGAAGAGGATTGAGGAAGTAAAAGTTACTTTAAATGTAACTAGTATCACGGGTTATTGCTAGTGTAAAGTTGAGGGTTGAGTTGGTAAGATTAAATACAGGCAGTTTTTTTCAACTTTAATATCGGAAATAGGAAATATCACTGCTTAAAAGTAAATGTTTTTTATAAATAATTTGGAATGGGAAATTCCTGCAGAAATGATTGTTATTAAGGTGGGATCATTCCTGTTCTGTACACTTATCTTTCTCGGACTGACGGAAAGCTTTCCGGGGCCCGAAAACCCCTCACAATGCAGCCCTAGGCACCAGCTTAGCTTTAGCTTAGCTTTAGCATCATGCTCTTATCTGTCTCTCAGGCATAGCATTAGCCTGTTAAGTCAAACCAGAAGTGTTCCCACCAATGTGTGCCAAAGAAGCCCCTGTCATCCATCAGTGGGGCTTAAGTTTCGGCTGCACTGAGGACACAAGAGGGGGGGCAGGGCTCATCCCAAGGCCCTCCTGGGACCGTCGGCTTCAGGTGATAGAAGACGGACGAGGAGCAGAGCACTCTCAGTCATCACTCTCCTCAGTCTCAAATACATATTGTACATATAACTGAAGTTATATGTACAGCATAGAAAAGTAGATGAGACCTTGCACTTTGTCTTCTCGGGTTCTTGTCCCAAACAACAACTAAAAAAGATAGTGAGATTCCTCAAATTAAAATGAAACATATGGCAATAAATTTTACATAAAATATGGTCATCTTAGGCAAACTTTGTCCTGCTGCAGTTTAGTCATGGATTGAAGCTGTGTTTCCCAGAATGATGTCAGCTCTTCCATATTACTCACAGAGAAAATACTGATGCAGTGTTACAGAATGTGTCCATGACAGACTCAGAGTCTGTTTGAAAATCTACAAGAACATCGCCTCTGACACCTTCTTAATCCAACAAAAGACAAAGTTACCTCATCGCACTACAGAGAGCACACAGGGGTGCAGTCTACATGTCCAGAGATGTGCTAACCCCAAGACCTGCTCAGTATTCATTACAGTCATTCTATCAATGGATACACCTCACAACACTGGGGAATCCTCAGGTCAAATATGGAGTAGTTTTGGAGAAGTTGCTTTAGAAGTTTAGAAACACTTTTGCATGAAGCCAAATGACTACATTTTCAAAGGGAACACATTTAAATGAACTAACATCAACCAGGTAATGAAAATGACACCTGGAACAACAAAACCTGCAACAATAAATTACTCAAAATCTTAAACCAGAACTAAACCAAGATTAAAACACGACTATACTAAGGCTTAAAAGCACGTCCAAACTAGAGCTACACAAGAACTAAATTAACCTACACTGTGACCTTGGCCTGCACAAGAGGCCTTTTTGACCTTACCTGAAAATCCCCCCATCAGGTCAGATATGGCACGATGTACAGGAGTGGGTGGGCTCTGGGGTGAAGTGGGGTATACTGCATCGCACGTACAGATGGATATCACAGGAGAGATTTAAGTGGCAAATGAAAGATACCCCTCATGCCTTGGTCCTGAGGAGACTAATGCTACTGCAGCAATGTGCAGGCTGGCAGTGATTACCCACGATTCACTTTAGCTGCACATAGAGGCGTCTTGTAAAAATATGAACGGTATAACTGTTTCCTGAGTTTGTGCTGACAGGAACTCTCGAGGGACCGCTGCTCTCCGCGGGAACACATGGCTGTGCGCTGGACAGTGGCCAAGACATAGATTAGCCACAGTTGCTAAGACCTCCATCCTCAAGAAGCACATGCAGAGGGAGCTAGAGATTCAAATACTGGGACACACATGTGGAATTATACAGGGCAATACTGTATACCAAATAAAAAATGGGCATTACTTTATAATTCATATTATGCTACTTTATAATACCTTCATTAGGCCCAAGTGCCAGAAGCTGGTGAAGGGCCTCTTAGTATCGCAAAACGATGCTCCTAGTGGACGGGAAGTGAAATGACGTGACTCGCCCTTAGCGACCAGAGACCCTCACCATGACATGGGAATGCGCCAGAGCTTTCTGAAAATGTATAGTTTGTTGGCCAAAATAAGTGTAACTTTTTTGTATCAGAATATTATTATTTCTTCTTCTACTAATTATCCTATAAAAAGGCACACTTTTGGCTCGTAACTTCTCAGGACACTGGTGAAGATGCACACAAACGTGGACAGCTCGACTACCTTCTCAAAAAAGCCCTGGCACCTCTATACATTAGAGGATGACGCCCACCTCTACAATGAGGACTTCGACCTGGAGGCTCTGATCTGCCCCACACCAACAGGGAGCGGTCAAGAGCCACAGAACACCCAACTGGTGTCTTGTAACCTCCAGGACTCCTCAAACCCTGAGGAAAGAAGTCAGGTCCAGGAACTAACACCCCTGGAGGACAGCACTCTGGTCAGTGAAGAGTTGGAGCAGGCAAGGGCCCAGTTTGCAGATTAGATCCAAAGAAACTTTGTTTTGGACTGCAAGCTTAAGACTAAAATTATTCTTGTGGGAGTTTGGAGTTTGTGGATTTAAAAAACACAGTATTACCATATGCATATTGCACATAAGACATCACAACATGGAACAAAGTGTTTTCTATTTGAGCACTGCCCTGGAGTCGAACCCAGGACCTTCTTTCTGTCAGGTGAAAGTGCTAACTGCCTCACAATATTGTCTAAATAATGCAGTGATTTACCAGAGCAGGTTGAAGGCAGCCAGCACAAACACCAGGTCATCTGATCTGGCCAGTCTGTCCATCTGAACCAGGAGCTCAGTCTTCAATTTCGCCAAAATTTTGAAAATGGCAGGGTTAGGTTAAGAGTAAGGGTTAGGGTTGGGGTCGGAGCTAAGATCAGGGTTAGGCTTAAGCTTAGGGTTACGTGTAGGGTTACGCCTAGCATTGTGGTTGGGGCTAGGGGTTAGAGTCATAGTTGGGGTTTTTGGGTATTAGGGTTAGTGCGGTGCACGGCGTTTGCAGTGTGCGGTGTGTGTGGTGTTTGTGGGGCACGGTGTAGGTGCACAGGAGGGCCGATCATTGCTGCTTGCAGCTATATTTATATTGAATTGTTTATTAATAATAATTCAGGCTCAGTAACTACTTCATTTATGACTTATGGTATTAATTAAGCAGTTACAAAGCCTGACTCATTCTTAATCATTTTTCTTTTCATTATTGGTTAAGTCTTTTCATGATTTATTAAGGCTACGTATGGTGGAGTTATTATAAAGTGTAACCAAAATATGTCACTTTGATTAGTTTTAGGATACAGATCAAGTTAAATATTTGTTTATGACTTCTGGTGTCTCTCTTAGTGTGCAGCAATGTGCATATTAATTGTCCTGTATTTATGGACTGGATCAGGTCGGACTGACCCAAAATATGCCTGAGAATCCCTTTTTGTTAAATGAGTGCATTAAGCATTAAAGGTTTTGTCTAATGTTAGTATGCTGTAAAGTCAGGGATATAAATACAAGATGCCCCGACTCTGAAAAATTACATTTCTGTTAAAAGTTATGCTTAACCTACTGTTGAAGAACTCTTAAGCAACTTTTTGACTATTATCTTGGCTTTTATTTATTGATACTTTGCAGTGAAATCACGCTGGGAGTGTTCTACATGTATTTGTATGGCAAAATGCATGGTGATACAATTCCCACATCATCAAATACTGTTGAAAACATTTTAAGATTGTCTGAAAACTCAAGAAAAAACACAAAATGGATCTAAATAGTTAGGGTTATTTTCAGGAGCTTGTGTGATGAATCTGAGTGTTCATAGTCCTGTTCAGGTTTTTGATTTTTGATAAAAAGATGAGACTGACTAATCTGAGAAACTGTTGGCTAATGTTGACTAGCTGGTGACTAATGTTATTTGAGAAGGAACATCACAAATGGAACTGCACAGATCAGCTCACCTGTTGTAATAGTCAGTGTTTGTAGTCAGATTGTGTTTAAAAAAAAAAGGATCAGATTAAAGACTAAGCCTCAGACAGAGCAGTGTCTACAACTAGCCTCACACCCCCAGGGAATTTTCAACTGCAAAGTATCATCAGAATTACACATGAAAAGTGGGTCGCATCACAGCACATATCATGAAATACTCAACAGTCAAAGTAAATGGTTGTACACACAGTATGCTTATGTTAATTGCCACCTCTGTTTCTGACCCCTGCCAAGTCTTACGCCGCTCCACTGGCTCCCTGTAGCAGCTCCCTGTCATCACTTTTATATAGCGCTTACTGCAAACCATATGTTTTCAGGGCACCAATTTTTATGTGTTGGCATTCCTCATTTGCAGTCACGAGCAATAAGCAGTTGGGTTGAATATTTTGATTGCTGATTGGCTAGTTATAAAAGTTCGGTATGCCTATCGCTTAAAAACCTGGGCCATAGTACCATATAATGTGTACTTGAATTTATTGAATCATTTTGAGCTCATTGTTAGCGTCTATATCTAACTTTTCTTTATCTTAATAAATCCCATATGGTCCCCAGTGTTTCTGAGCCAGTTTAATAAAAGTGAACTCTCAAAGGTAAAACAAATTTCAGAATGTAATATTGTTGCACATTGCCATAACAGCAGAGTAATTGGGCCTGGCTACTGTGGATGTATTTACAAGATGCTGACACAGACAAAAACTGTAAAGGTACTAGACAGTGAGTGCAATGGTGTTTATGTCTCTGAATACAATTTTCCCATATCATAACCACTTCATATAACAGCTGGAATAAACTTGTATTTGAAAATAAAGATCAGTGCAAGATGATACATAAGCGTTGCCACATATGGGGAATTGGTGGTTGTGAACATGTTTTCTTCTCATTGCCTCAAAGCCTGAACTTTCTTTATGGTGCTGATCCTGTGTGAAAGTGCAGGAGGGGGCCAGTTACACTTGAATGCCACTCTTGTGTTTGTTGACTTAAGATCATTATATGTGGTAGGATGACCATTATATGAGGGGAGCCAGAGTTTCCACACGCCTGGCTCATTTCATGTGTGCTTAAGATCACTGGCTGCTCGGCCTGTTGGATCATGTGGTTAGTGGGTCGCATGGAGCTTCGACTTTGATTTAGCTCTCAGAAGCAGGAGCCGTGTGATTGGGTTTCTAAACTAACTGACGGTGTGTGCGTCTCCTACAGGGTGTCAGGTCCGCTCCTGTCTCCAGGGATGAAGAGCAACGGGACGCCCCCCTCTCCTCTCGACAAACAGCACGTGCACTCGCACCACAAGCCCTACAGCCACTACGCGCTGCAGCCAGCCAATGACGGTGAGACAGACAGAACAATAACAAGAACACGCTTCATTCTCCAACAGGAAATGTGCTCAAGGCCAAGGACCAGACACAATGTTTTTACTACTGGTGTTTCACTTCAATATCCTTACACTTCTCTGTGACAGGTGATGTGCTAAGAACTCCTCCTCAGTATAAATACTTGGCACAGAGATAACAGTGCCTCTAACATGTTGTGTTTTTAGCAGCACAGATTTTACCACATACGCACACGCGCACAGCCACATGAAAGGCGTCTGGAGGATGTTGTCCCGTAGAGCAGTGTAGCTTTGTCAGGACAGAGATGTGTCATAGAGACAGAGCAAAGGAAACCACCGCAGGAAGCCCTCTCTTTCAGCCCAGTGAGGCAAAATGCTGGCTCATGTTTTCAGCGGTCTCTCAGTTCTTACACAGCAGGCTCAACTGTCACTCCAGAGGTTTGTAATGTTTTAAACAGAGCTCCCTCTGTAGAGATCTGCCCATACACGTCTGTGTAACCACTGTGTGGTCAGAGTTACGCAGAAACACTGCAGGAAAATCTGCTCCTCCATTATGGCTTCTCCTGTGGTCAATCTGAGAGTACAAACTGGGACAAAGGGGACACATGATGTCCTCTAGGTGGTTTTCTGAGGAAGCTGATGCATGAATACTGTGTACAGTTGTAACACTCAATGTTTTAAGAGAAATATTCGGGTAACTTCTAAACTAATACATCGTCATAATGTTTGCCTTGCCCTAGAGTACCAGGCCAGTTTCCAGAGCTGCTTCCATTTTGGAGACTCCTACAGGATGGATCAGGCAGTCGGTGGTGTCCACATCCCTGGAGATTCCCACAGCTACAGTTCCCATCAGCACAATGGCTTCCACATGTCAACGGGCAACACAGGCATAGGTGAGAAGGATCTGACTTTTAGAAAAGATCATCACAGGTAAAGTTAAAAAATGCAATCTACTCAAAGCATACATTCATTTTCTAGGCTTTAATATGAGCCAGGAGCTCCATGGAGGAGGAGGATGCCAGTTCTCCTCGGGCCCAGATGAGAGCATCTTCTTCCAGGTGGGCAGCTTCGACCGCAGCCTGAACCACATGCCCTCTGTCTACACAGAGACATGAGGCACTGGGGCAGAGGACTCTATACTCACAATGTAGCATTAACTCAAGTACTCAATATGGCTCCTGGGACAAAAATTAAACACGCACTTTCACAATGACACAAAAATAAAATACAGAGTTAAATGATAAAAGCAACTATGGCAACAGTCTCAGTGTAATAAAAAGTGCATTAAAAATAGTCACAGATCAATTGAAAAGTAGCGCTGGTTTCACTGAAGTGTTACACAATGGTTGGTGTTCCCACTGGTGTTAATATTAAGATTAACAGTAAGATCATGTTTTAACCACTGTGTTCATGTGCAGATATTTTTACTGGTACATAGCCCTTGCCTGGCTCACTCTCCAACCCACAACCTCCAATGTATTTTGGACTGAAGTGTAAGACATTATATCAATTTTGCTGTGTTGTTTTTAGCAGTGAAAAGTTTATTTTATTTTTGATTTCGGATGAGGCTTTGGGACAATGAATTCTTCATTGGTGCAGCAAAACTCACCTTTAATATATATGTATAATATGTACAGTTTGTTTACAACATTGCTGAATGTCTCTCGAATTATGAAATAAAATATTTAAAGAATTCTTGTTCTTGCTTTTGAGTTTCTTGGAAAATCTAATTATATTGTAAATGGATTCAGCACCTCAAACTGTTGAATGTGGTGGGACATGGAGGGAGGATGGATGTAGAAATGTAAGCTAATAAATAACAGCAATAATACCACAGGATTTTCTATTTATAAATCATAACACAGACAGATTGGAGTACAAATAGATGACCCCATAATACAACCCTGAAAGCCAGTACACCCATAGAGAAAAAAAAAAAGCTTTTTTTATGTAAATTTGACAGACGGTCACCCTATAATATGGGTGGTTTCGGATCATAGGTGTATGCTGCCCTCTACTGGTCTACTGTGGGTACTGAAGCTGGAAGTAAAATAAAAATACAACATGCAACATCCATAGTCCTTTTGACAGTTTTATTTCTGCTTCTTCCTGTTGACATAGCTCTGGTAATAGAAGTTACTGAAGAGGATAATGAGAGTGACGCAGTATCCAAACACCACAATGTTCATACTGTCTGGAAAGTCACACTCTGCGAAGAGGTTGTAGCCCGTGTGCAAAAGGAACATGACAAACTGAGTCTGAAATCAAGAAAAAAGACTAAATGAAAATGTGTTCCACTAATTCTGGCTTAAACTGAGGCTTTTGTCACTGACCAGCTGCAGAGAAGTCAAGTATTTCTTCCACCAAAGATACTTCTGCATGTGAGGACCAATGGCGGCTAGTCCGTAGTATGAATACATAATAATATGGACAAAGGTGTTGACTAGACCAATAAAGAAAGCTGTGGGAAAAGGTTTACGTAAGCACATGCCTTAAAGGAGCAATTTATTTATTTATGACTAAAATGTTGGGAAACTTACACTGTCCTCCTGCTACATACTTAACTCCCGCCCACCAATTGAAGATCATGGTGCCATGGTGATAGACATGAAGAAACGTCAGCTGGTTATTCTTTTTCCTCAGAATGAAAAATATCTGTGGATGACGACACTTGCTTTAACTTGTAGCATTAAGGTGTACTGTGAATAATGTGCTTGAATTTATTTATAAACAAATGTACCGTGTCACTAAGCTCTATGACTTTAGAGAAGAAAAACCACCAGCACACTCTGGCCATCTAGAAATAAAGGAGAAAAGTTCAAGTAAAGTCTAAAACCCTTGTTAATAGTATAAGCTTTAAGGGCATCTGACATAAATTGTACAAATCACTGGATCAGATGAATGGAATATGAGTTACTGAGACTTAAGGCAACAAAGTCACTTACCCTCATTGCAAGTGGATTTGTGCTATAATCAACAGGCTGACAAAGCAGGCTATAGCTAGACAACCAGGACGTAACCAGGAACTGTAACACAATTGTGAAGATGTTGTCAAATTATTTACAGTTTCAATGTTTTGTCTAATTGATTGAATAATTTTGCTGCAACTATAATTTTAGTTGTTGATTTGGTGTTTTACTTTGACTAGTCAAATGATTATTTCTACCGTACATTTTAAGAGACTTTTAACATAAATTATCAACCTTTATTTGGTTGATAATTTATATCAGACCATAGGCTTCTAAATACAGAATATTTACGAATTTAAAATATTCACTTTTTATTACTGATGAATATCAGAAATTCTCCTTTTATTTTTCTTTTACAGGTGTTTAGGTGAGTCTGTAGTCCAGATTATGATTCTCAAACCATCAAAAAAAAAAATCATACTCAACTAACCACTATTAGTTCATTAATCACTGCAGCTCCCTTGGACAACTATCTTACCTCATAAAACATGTACGCAGAGAGGCCAACCATGGCAAAGTTGTAAACAATGAGGACAACTTTGAGGTCAATGGGTTCCTTGTGTCTCATGAGTCTTGGGCCGACCCAAACCACACACAGGTACTGCAGGAAGATAAGTGCCACTGGGACAGGGGAGTAGACCAGCAGCCAGGGATCTGTCCTTTTGTCTGAAACATTCACACGTTTATGGAGCAAAAAATGATTAGGCTAAACTTTAGGATGATTTACTTGACATAAAACAACTGGATATAGCATACTGTCTGTAAATACATGTACAATTAAAATCTAATTTGGCCACAGGAAGATCCACTGAATACATAGGACTGTCATAGTGAACATAACATGAGTGACTAGTGAAATGATGATTATCATCATCATTGCAGCGTACTCGTTTGTATTACAAACCTGTAACACAAACTTTGTAAGCTACTTTTATTATCATAACTAAGTCATTCAATGAAATCAGATTCATTGATCATTTGTAGTTTATGTGAAGTAAATTATGTTGCAGCTACAGCAACGGCCTACAGGTCGCGTGACTTTGCTAGAAGTACATATAAACTCTTAGATATAACTTTTGACAGATTATAGACTACACAAGTTCCGCTTCATGTTACATTGTCCAATACCTCCATTCTCCAGTATGCCTTGGTACCACGACAGGAAGCTTTGCCACGCGGAAGTCATGTCTGAAGTCTCAACGAAACCACCGGACACAGACTAAAGTTTGTCACGGCGTCCAGTCCAGTGTCAGAGATGAGAAAAAACACGGCACACTTCAGTCCAAGGGTCAGGGTTAGGTTTAAGGAAGGATGGATCAGACAATCAACGAAATACAGCCGCACAGGCTACAACCATGGACATTAGACCGACAGAGGCGTTGGCTCGTCGTAAAAGAGAGCGACTTTTGTTTTTGAAAAGAAAATGTTGTGAAACTGATATGAAAAAAAAAAATGAAAAAATTAAACAAAAGAAAACAACGGAACGAAAGTAGACACATGGAAAACGCCTTCAAAGACCTTTTGAGGACACTATCCGATTATATTTTGCAGTTTCCTTTTTTGTCACTAGGGGGAGACAGAGTGCATCTTTTTTTTTTTTATAAATACATATATATATAAATAGTTGTCGGGTTTATTATTTGCAAAAGATGAAGAAGCTTATGGTTTATATTCATAAATGTTTATACTACAGTAAACGAACTTTGGACCGTGGCATGTGGGAGACAGTTTAAAATTGTAAAAAGTTGGTTTCGATCATGTTTGTCTTTTATATTCACACTCCCACTTTCAGATCTTTATTATGTAAAACATTATAATACTGATACAGAGTCAGAGCCACCAAACACATGTATGCCTGCATAATCTCTAAAAACAATAGTTATTGTTTCTTATCCATAAAATATTGTGAAGGACACACTTCACAATAGTTTTACTTTTTGGTATTTTTGAAGAAAGACATCAGAGAGAGTTGTTTACTGTCATTTTTAGCTGCAGAATTTTTGCCTCTGGATATCACATTATTCTTCAAATCATTTGTTTTCTTCTTTTTTGTTTCCTGTTAACAAAAAGATACAAAAATTAAAACCTATTACAGTACATCTAAAGACTAATACAAATTGTACTACATTTGTAGTTGGATGTTTGTTACTGTTCACTGAATCATAAAGCTTCAAAATCTGCAACAGAAGTGACAGTAGTGGAATTATTTAATGTTTCATTCACGCAACGTTCCAAGATTAAAAATAACATGGCTGAGACAAGCTGACCTTTTTCACCCCTGTTGAAACTGCTGCCTCCATTAAAGCTGATCTGCTGAGCCACTGAGCGTTTTCACTGAGGTTCTCACAGCTCTGGTCATTTAAATGCACACTGTACACAACATATGTCTGATGGATGTGTGAGAAGATGTGAACCACCTGCAAAGATAAATACTTATGATCGACCTGTCTGTGTGTGTATTGTTGCATGTGTTCAAATATTATAATTACATGTTTAATAGCTGACAGATGAACAATGTTTTAGGAATATTTTTTTGTATGGATCTTCATATGCCCTAGTGGGTTTCTTATTCTTGTGTGAACTGCATTGGTTTGAATAGCATACGTATCTACCACATATAATGAAACACTTTTTTAAAAAAAAGTGTATTGTGTTTCAGTGAGCCATTTATATAATGCAAATCACATGTTATTTTAGAGCAATAGTGACAAATAGAACATTTGACCTCTCCCACAAAATGAACGTGGTTTTCAGGAAAGCCTGTTCCCAGAATTCGGCAGATCTCATTGCACAGCAGCGCCCTCTTCTGTTCAATATCAGAGCTTTCCACTTCTAAGAGACTGGGAAATTGCCACAAACCAGCAAGCAAACCTGTTGTAACAGCCAAAATAAATAAAGATGAATGAGAGCTATTAAAATGGAAATATGTAAATAAGTAATATGACGACAACTGCGTTCAACTAATTAAGCACAATTTTAAATATATTTTATGAGTACTTCCTAACACACCGTGTACTCAGTTAATCGTTTACAATATTGATCACTGACAATTTTCAACAACAATTTTCTCAAATGTTTCTCAAATCTCTCAATTAAAATATGCACTCATGCACTCACTCTCAACATAACTTAAGTCCAGTTTCTGTTGTCTGACCTTTGTTGGGTCTTTGTGTGAGCAGATACTGGTCCTGCCCATCTCCTCCGCGTCTGATGACCAAACAGGTGAGTGTCCTCTCTACTCGAGGAGGCTTCTTCACTGGTTTTCTGGGAAAGTTCATGACCCCAAGCTCATTTTCCCAGGGCTCAGAGGGACACAGTAAGCACGCACCACTGCCCACTAAATGAAATTAAAAAGTTATGGTCTTTCTAAGTTAAGGGAATTTCAGTGACAATAGCTCTAAAACACTTTGTTTACCACATTCCTCTATGTCAGGAACAGATGGAGATCTCTTTCTTGTCTTGCCCACAAGCTTCTTAGTGTTTTGTTCTTGTGTGTGATTAAACTATTCAAATATAACCAAGATAAAACAAAGTAAACAAAAACTACAAAAAGACATAAATCATTATTAATGTAATTAATCACAGGCGCACACATTTGTACCTTTTGATAGGAGTGGCAGTGAGACTTTATGGGGCACTGGCTGCAGAGAGGAGCTTTAGGAGTACAAACTCGAGCACCCAGCTCCATCATGGCCTGGTTAAAGTCTCCTGGTCTGCTTGGCTCAACAAGCAAATTAACTATATTCCTACAGGCAAAAAATATAATTTACCAATGAATGTAACAGTTTAGTTTATGTCTGCTTTAAAATCACTTTCAGCAAGAAGGAATCTTTAGGCAGCATACAGTAGCTTTATGTGGTTAAAAACAACTAATTGCCCTGCATAATTCATTATATGATCAAGATTCAAGTTTATTTGCCATTTGTGCACACACAAAAGTATATACACGTTGGAAGTCTTGTGCAGGGCTATTGGACATTCAAGTAAGAACAGGTAAAAAGTGCATTAGAGGGGAAAAAAGAGACATACACATACATAAAATGTTTTAAAATCCACTTTAAATACATAATTTGAATAGGACTAATATTTAAAAGCAACAGTTAGGCAAACCCCTGTTAATAATAAATACTGTATATTGCACATAATACTGTATATAGTACTGTATAAGTAATAGAAGCATAAAGATGAGCAAAATACATGCTGCCAAAGTCAACTGGTGTTTTGATATTACCATAGAGCCTCTGTTACAGCAGGACTTGTGCTATCTGCTCCAATAGCTCGTAAGCGGCATAACACACGAATCACATTTCCATCCACTGCTCCTGTGACCTGAAAACAGACAGATACATAGATACATAGGCAGGACCTATGTTATTTTTGCATAAGACTTTTTGCTAATGAACCAACCTGTCCAAGTGCAATAGAGCCAATAGCAGCAGCAGTGTAACGTCCAACCCCTGGCAGTTGTTTCATAAGATTTTCCACTGTGTGAGGCATTTGTCCTTTTAACTCAGAAACCACCTAGAAGTAAAGTGATGAGTCTGTACAATTATTTTAACGTTTAATGTACAAGATATTTCAGTCAAATTAAACCTTTTGAGCCCCTTCATGAAGTCTTTTGCCTCGGGAATAGTAGCCAAGCCCTGCCCACATCTGGTTCACTTCCTTAAAAAAAAAAAAAAAGAACGAAAGAAAGAAATAATCAGTTTTAAACCATTGATGAGATTAAATATGTTATGTGTGTCAACAAGTTATGACCTCTAGTGTAGCAGCTGCTAGATCCTGTACTGTTGGCCACCGCTAAAAGAAAGCAAAACAAACCATGTTAATATACAAGTTGAATTACGCAAGCTAAAAACCTCAGCAACCTACTTTTATCCATTTGTTATAATAGTTGATAACAGTTGCAACTTGAGTCTGCTGCAGCATTATTTCTGATACCCACACTGAAGAACAAAAAATCGGATTGTTTTTTTTTTTTTAAATAGCAGAAAATATACACAATGCAAGCAATTCTAAAAGCCAAACCTGCATATGTTCTGATGTTCAGGTCTTCTTCTGTCATTGCCTGGAAAAGCACATTCACCTTTATCTTACTGTGATTAGGTTATATGTAATATGAAGGAAAGCTGACCATATCTACATTAGGGTTGTCAAAAGTATATAAAATCAGATACTAATTTATAATAAAACCAAACTAGATACTAATTTCATTTGAACAAGTATCTATACTAAAAAAGTCAAATTTACGGGACAGAAATGAACCTTTCCTGAATGAATAGCTTTAGAATGATCTTGAGCTGTGGACATGTATAAAACCACATAGATTAGTGTATGCTCATAGACCACTATGGAAACTACTAGGACGACTGAGGGATTATACAGATATAAGCCACTATTATGATTTAAAGTTCAAAATTACATTTTACTGTCTTAAGTGTTTTTATTATCATCATTGTATTGTAATCAAGAGCACAGAGTCTAATCCTTAGTATCAAAATCGAGTTTGACATTTATTTTAGTTTGCATAAAATATATAATAGAAATGTGATAGAATCATTTAAAAAAGCTGTGATTTTTCTGAACCTACCAGTGTCCTCCATGGCAGCTCCCTTTTCTCTTTGTCATACCAGTTTAAAAGGTGAGAACGTAACAGGATTACCTCAGCAGCATCTGAGAAACTGTGGTATGATGTTGGAGAAATATCCTCTAGAAAAGTGAACAATTAAATAATACCTTTTGAGGAATATACAATATGTTTTGGAGAGAAAGCATTGCATTATCATTTCAATTAAACTTGCATAACGAATAAATACATAATCTACTACATATGACACTGATGTTCTGAGACATGATTACAAAAATTATTATGGTATATAAGTTGTTATGCAAATGGAATTCAATGTCACACAAGCACTACCTTAACAATATTTTTCCTAACTCCTTAAGCAAATTTGTATGTGCACCTGGCTTTAAAAGGGTACTTAGAAATATGAAGCGATAGGATACAATTAACAGAGTAAAGATCGAGTGAAGTGACTTGAAAATGTGAAATACCCTACCTTGTTTGACAGTTGTCTTGAGCCGTTTACTCTTTGAATTTTCGTTTCTTGTCATCTTAACTCTTGCATCTGAAATACTTTCACTAATATGCCTTTTTAATAACGCCCAGTGAAGTTTTATAAACCGATTATACTGAGGTTTCGGCTCCCGCCACATTGGAGGAAAAGGCTGGGCTCTCATCCAATCAGCGACAAGTAAACACGGAAGTAGAACAATGTAAGAACAGGGGGCGCTTTCAAAATAAAGGTATTTTATATACCAACAACACGACAAATTATTTCAACTAAAATATTTTATTAAACTCTAAGTTACATTCTTCATTCAATCACCAGCAATTTATATAGTTTGTGTAAAACAGTAAATGTCAGCCTTCGAGGTTTACTGAATGGGTCCCATTTTCCCCATCCACTCCTGTACACAAAACAGAAAACATACTAGTACATCCTTGTACCAAATGTAATCTTATTTCCAACCATCACCTGTGTTTGTTATAATGTTGTTGCACAACAGAAATTCTGCCTGTGTTTCACTCAAAGTCTTGTACAGCATTTCAGGACTGATCTGATTAAAAAAAATACCAAAACAAAACAAAAAAACATTGCTTTTGCTGCTTCAATGTGATGCACTATTTTAAAGTGTATGTATCCAATTATTGATCCATAATTTGTCCATACATACATACATACCAAAAAGGCTGAAAATAGAGTATCTCCCATGACTCTTTTAACAGGTTGTTGGATAATGGGGTAGGATCTAACAAAGAACTAAACAAACAAATATTAGTAACTGCTCGGTTAATATTACTTTATTGATATGCATTATAAAGAATAATTATTGACCTCTAATGCAAGACTGGCTTGTATTTGGGTTTCGATGTGTTCTCTGTTGCCCATAGCAGATAAGAGACCCTGGACCACTTCAAGAGCGAGCAGATCACTGCTAATTTCTTCATTATCTTCAGCCAGTAACCTTTAAAATGAACAAACAATTGACTAAATAGTAGGTAAATAAAGGTATTTCGTATATAGATTGTAGCACTTTTAGTTCTCACCGGATGACTTTAGCAGTGGCAGCTTGTTGCACAAATTCAGGCAACGATCCAGTTTTCCTTGTCATTTCTGAAATAAAAAAGTCATGAAAGGAAATTTTCTGTCTATAATAATGTGGAAAAAATAAACAAATATTTTGTGAAGTTTGATAGTTACTCAGCTCCTCAGTTGCTAGTCTGAGAAAAGTCACCAGTTCATTCAGGAGAAGTGGCCTCACATCAAAATTCTTCAGTTCTAAAATCAAGTTAATTGCTGCAGGATTGGAGGAAATGATAGGATTCAAAAGAAATAAATCAAAAGCATTACATTAAACTATAAATGATAATGACTATTCAGGACTCCTCTTTGTTTTGCCTGAAATCTAATGAAGTACATGTTTTATTGCTCAAAATTCTGTCCTTCCTTCACAAACAAACAAACAAACAAACACACAAAAAAACATGCATTGTTACTATGAGTAGGGCCCCCTCTCCCTACATCTGACATCTCTTACCATCTTGCTTGTTTCCATGTAAATAAATGCCTGCAGGAAACTACAGGACCTAGCACCTTTAAATTACCTTCATCTTGAACTTCCAGCTGTAAGGTCTTGAGCATTTCAAGAAGAGGACCCACAATACTGTGATGAGCTGTCTTCATCTTGGACTATGGGCAGTGCTTCATAGTTATTTATAGTGTCCTTATTTTACGTTTCTAGGACTGTTTAAACTTATACCTGCAAAGACCGTAAAGTGCGCAGGAGCATCTTCTGACTTTTGGGAGATGTGTTCAACAACAGTGCAATGAGTTCTTGGTAGACATAGTTTAGATATTTCGGATTTCCCTGGGACAGTGAATCTAGGACTGCACATGCTTTCTCCAGGATCTCATTAGAATATGGTATGGTTAAACACTCTGCTAAAGCACTGACACCTGTTTGAAAAAAAAAAAGCTTATTGGTGCTATCAATTATAAATCAATCAATCAATCACACAGTCAATATTTAGTATATCTTACCCTTGCTTTCACAGATGAACTCTTTGTACTTGCGACCGGTGTTTGAAACAATCAACAAAACATTAAGCACTTCAGCTCTGTCCTCCCCTTTAGTTTGACCTTGATTTAAAATATCAATTAATGTGAGAACCCCTCCATCCTCCAGGAACTCCGTTAGGTACTGATCCCTATGGCAAAAGAGGAACACAAACTTACCACATTAAATGGGCTACTCAAAGCTGTAGGGTATGTTTGGCTGTACTCACTGGCTGGATGCAGACAGAAAAATCTGTATTGCTTTAAGCTGTAGCCATAGGGATGAACTAAACTTGTATCTACAGATCAGGTGAAGGACTGATCATGTCTGACTCAATAGAAGCAAATAGCACAAGTACAAATGCACAAGTATGTCGCAATAAATGCCCAGAGAGACAATAATAAAAAGGGAAATTATAGGACACACTCTAATAAGTTGTATGTAAGGATACGTGAGTCTCATCCACGTCGTGATTCGTGCCAAAAAGAGACTGGCCACCTGAGCAAACTCCATCTCCAGTTCGTGGAAGGTCTTCCCGGAGGTCTCAGAGAGGAAAGTTGTCAGAATACGAGCGCGCGTTGTTTTGTCCGCGCGGTCCCAGTCGCGTAGAAAACTCAACACTTTGCCAAGGTTTGCCTTCTTGTCGTCGCGTGCAGATGCAGGCATATTGTAAATGTAAATGAATATTGTAAATCAACACATTTTAGCCTTCTTTCCTTTCCAATGTACCACGTTTACGCAATTACGCTTTGGCACAACTGACGACGGCAACTTTTACGCAGTTTTGTTTCGCTTCTCAGTTGCTTAGTAGCACATCACATCATGATACTTAAACAGATGGGCAAAATAAAGTAAAAGTGGACAGTTAAATCACATACAGTTTTTATTCACAGAGTTCTGTGACAGTGACTGCGACTTTGACAGTACAAAATAACAGGTAAATTAATTATTTTGGGTTTTTAATCAGGCAAGCTTCCCAAACTATTTACAATAGAGCACTAGTGCCCTCTTCTGGGAAAAAAAAAATTAATTTAATTTAATTTAATGCACCTTTGCAGGTAAAAATCACCAAGCGCTGGACAGAGTGCCCATAGTGCAGAAAATAGATTTATCTTAAAAACGAATTAAAATTCTTCAGATCAATCACATCTGAAAAATACAAAATACAATACAACAATATACAATACAACTCTACAACCCAGTAATCTAAATGTATGTGTCTGAAGCTCATGCACATGGGGCTAGGAGCAGGGTCTTCCACATCTTGGTGCCATAGACTTAAGCAGTTTTAAACTCTTTAAAACCATATGCTTCTTGCAAAATGTACATGATATGTCACTGAAGAACATGTCATTTTGGTGCTCTAAAAGTAGCTTTACAAAGATCAAAGGACAATGATAATTAAGCATGGCCTGATAGATGTCCTAAGTAAACTCTGAGACATTCAAAGAAGATTTTTCCAGTTCAATAAAGTCTTAGTTATTTATGCTTGTATGATGGTTTACACAGACTGTTTGAATGTTTTCTTTCTCAGGTAGCTCTGGTAATAGAAGTTACTAAAGAGGATAACAAGTGTGATGACGTACACCATCCCTGTAATGTTAACAGCGTTTGGATAGTCACACTCTGTGGCCAGGTTGCAAGTTGTATGAACAAGGTACATCATAAACTGGGCCTGTTGTGGGCACAATATGAAATTGGTTTCAAAATGTGGCAAATACAAAAACGAGAGGACAAAATAGGCACTGACCAATTGTAATTTGGTCAAGTATCTCTTCCACCATAGATATTTCTCCATATGTGGGCCAATTGCTGCCAGGCCGTAGTACGTGTACATCACCGTGTGCACCACTGTGTTGAGCAGGGCATGAAAGAACGCTGAGTAACATTCAAAGAGTTAACACTTTGGTCTCTTGGATTTGGAAGCTTACAGTACTGTATATACAAGGAGTTTTATTTCATTCATGTATCTGAACTCTCACCATTGTTGCAATGATGTGAAACATAATGCCATTTGTTTTGCTAAAAACACTTACTTTGTCCTCCTGGCAGATACTTAATCAGTGCCCACCACCAGATCATGGAGGCGTGATGGTAGACATGAAGGAAAGTGAGGTGACTCTTTTTCTTCCTGAGTATGAAGAAGACCTGCTCTTCAAATAGAAAAGGATTTGAATGGGCTTGTCTTGCTTTGAGACAGGACTGCAACAACAGTCATCTGCCTTACCGTGTCACTAAGCTCAATGATTTTGGAGACAAAAAACCACCAACACACACTGGCCATCTACAGAAATGAAAAAATATTAAGTTAATATAATGCTAACTTAATCAAACATAATGGGTTGTGCTCACGTAATGTCATAACATTCTTAGTTGTCTTTTTATTAATGACACAAAGACATTGCAGTCTGCAGTAAAGACTTACAGCCTTGAGATTAATATGGCAAAATAATGGAGCCACTGCCTGACAAAAAACTGTAAACATTTCATTCAAAGATTTTCTTACCCTCATTGCGAGTGGACTTCTGCTATAATCAACAGGCTGACAGATTAGGCTGTAATTCGACAGCCATGATGTGACCAAAAACTGAAAAATCGAAACATGAATCATAATCTGCATGATTTCTGAACTTTATACTTTATATTATTGAACTATCACTACTGAGGTGTAAATACAGATAATCAATTAAGTGTACTATATATTTCAGATTTTGGAGGAAGAACTTTGAGTATTTTTGTGTTAAATTACTAAGACAAAATAAAATTACAATATGAGAACAATCAAAATCTGTAGAATACACACCTCGTAGCACATGTAAGCACACAGGCCTACCATACTGAAGTTGTACACAATGAGAAGAGGTCTGAGGTCAAAGCAGGTGCAGTGTCTCATGAGGCTTGGACCAAACTGCACCACGCAGAGGTAAAGCAAATGGATGAGAGCCACTGGGACTGGGGAGTAGACCAAGGGCCACGTGTCTGTCCTTTTATCTGACACAGTAAACGACATAATAGCATCTCAATTTATAATATAATACTAATAAAAAACAAAGGCATAAAAATAGCCTGCTCCACATAGTAACACCAATAGCTTAAGTAGTTGTCATGATCTGCTACAGTACAATATGGAAATATGTACCTCCATTCTCCAGCATTTCACTGTAAAGTGAATTTAAACGTAGATACACAAAAGCCATGTCCTGTCAGGAGAAAAAGAATGTTGGAAAAGATCAGCACATGAGCATCTTCTTAACTAAGCATGTCAGCAAATATTTAGGCTAATGCACACACACACAAAAAAAGCAGAGAGTGTGTCCAAATAATTTCCCTTGTGGATCAGTAAAGTTAGTTTAAGTCTAAGTATAAATAAGCTTTTCCTGTAATGTACATCCAAGTAGAACAGTCTGCATTAGACTCCTGAGAAGCCCATTGCTGTATGCTGAAATCATGAAATATATAAAAAGAAATGTTAACTTGTTAACTATAGTCTATTCTAGAGGTTACTGAGTATATTATGTTATCCCAAGTAGAAGAAAACACTTGTATACTCTTACAAGCACAATGTACAAAAGAAATAGATTCTATATTAGTATTATGCACAATACCTTGAATGGCCTCAACCCCCTGATACAATGATCGTAGATGTTCAACCACAGAAAACAAAAGACAAAAAGAAATGTATAAAACAAAAAACATATAGAGAGGAGATGCCAAATAGTTTGTTTTAGACTGGCAGAAGACTCCAGTAACATGAAGAGGGACTTGAGGGAATGTACTGTATGCATCAGTGTCATGTATGACTTGTTTTAAGGGGTGGTGCTCTCAACCTGAAACACAGTGAGTGTCCTCCAGATGTTTATGTTAACTTTTGATTCATATCCGCACATTTAACAAACCAAGACTTATTTATTTATTTTGGATTGCCCCCTGCAATGCATCACCTCTTTTTCCTTAGTATTACTCAACAGACTATAGATAAGTAAATAAAAACAAATAGAACAACAGATGCTATTCTAAGTTTACATGAGGAAGACCAGTGTGATTGCATTCC